TAAATATTCGTAATTAGTGCCGAGTTTAGTCATTTTTAGATAATTAATTTCTTATAAGTGCAAATTTGGATAAAAAAAACTCTTGAAAAGACAATGTATTTATATAAAGTTGCACTCCACAATAAAAGATATTTACAAGTATCTGGAAAACATATTTTAGACTACATGTACTAACCACCTGCTATACCGATACGTTGTCCCAAAAAGGAACGATATTCTGATATTAATGCATCTAATTCCTTTTTACATGCATGTACTCCAATGACACAAAATCCAATGTCACAACTCCAATGACACAAACTTCAATGACACAAACTCCAATGACACAAACTCCAATGACACAAAATCCAATGTGTCTATATCCGGGTACTTATATGCATGTAATTCATGACAATCAATTTCTAGATCTGGAAGAAGACGATTATCTATAGCAGAGAAACAATTGTTCAATTCTTTCTAGAAGAAACACAACCAAAGAAATACTAACCTTAGAATTAGCGTAGTAATCCGAAAATTGTAAAATAGAAGAAGTGTAATGAGTCTGTGAAAGACATGCTTTGATCAAATAAAATAACAAAGTTCTTACGTGTAATAATAATATTACTTGTGAATACACTATTATTTTATTATCCTGGTCATCATCAAACCTTGTGAGAAGTTGCAAGTAGTGGATGCTTCTCCACTCTAAATAAGCCGTCAATCGAGTTATCGTTATTGTTGTTTTGATTGTTATTTTTCTTTGTCCAGGCCGCATCAATAAGTTCTGTTGAATTGCTTGGCTGAATAGGCCGTATCAATAAGTCCTATTGTGTTGTGATTGTTAGTTTGATTTTGGAAAATTCCCCTTTTCTTTATCATAATATTATTATTTTCGCCCCCTCCTTTACCTTTCAACGTCGATTTGCGTACAAGTCGTCGCAGGAAGCCTTTAGAACGCCAAAGAGACCCTTTGTCCGTAGATAATTCAGTTTAGCTCTCACCCGGTTGTGTAAAAACCCTCTTCTACCAATCAAAATAGTAACACGCAACAGTATCTCAGTCGATCATATTTGTTCAAAAAGAAACTATATCGGGGAAATAACATGAATATCTTGATAAAAAAAATAACGATAGCAATATTGCCTCAAAAATTATCATTATGTCAGAACTAAAAATAATTTTTATTCGCTTATAATTACATTCTTTTGAGTTCTATTAAACTAATAACTCAAAGGAAAAAAAGGAAACCATCAATCATGGAGCTACACTAATTATCCACGGTGGTGCTGGAAGGATTCTTCGAGAGGCGTTTAAATTGGAACAAGGGTATCATGGGCAAGGGATAGGAATCGATTCTCAACCCAGAATCGATTCTAAAATCGATTAATAATTTCGATTAATAATTTCGATTAATCTTTAAATAAATTCGATTAATCGATTTTCAATTTGAGAATCGATTCTCAACCCAAAATCGATTCTCAAATAGATCTGTTCTACAAAACAGCTATTTAATTGATTTCGTTCATGTGTAATTAAGTTTCCCACATCTGAAAATAGATATTCAATGGAACTGATGTGGCAGGAATTGTCAAATAGTTGCGTGCAAGTTGTAAAAGAATTGGATATAGAGATAGGAATCGATTTTCGACCCAAAATCGATTCTCGAGCACAAAGTGCGACGATGATGACGGTGATGTCATAACTGGTATTTGGTTTTGTTTTTCATTGCATGTTGAATTTTTCCCTTTTCATTGGGATAGTTGAAGTTGTACTTTGATTAGTTGAATTCATAGAGATAGAAGCAATTGAAGTATTATCATCAGATTGAGATTCTGATCAATATCAGTACTTTTGGCATTAGTATCACTATCAGAGTTATTAAACTTTATATTGGCAATGGTTATTATCAATATTAACATTTTTGTTGAATGGCAGAGTGCGTGCGTTATTTGCATGTTTTTCCAATTGCATGTACGTATGTTTTCACATACACAATTTATACATTATCGTTATCATGATCATTAATCGTTATTAATCGATTTTGTCTTTAAAATCGATCACAAATTTTAATCGATTTCCTCGATTCTATAAAATTAATCAATTCTAGAGAATCGATTCCTATCCCTATCATGGGGCATTAAAAAATTCACTTTTTTGCTGGACATCATATTTTAAAGAATTGTGGGAGTTCTTTGGATGCTGTCGTAGAGGCTGTTTGCTGAAAATCTACCGGATTTGGAAACCAGCAGCATTGTAGACACGTACATTCATCGGCGTTGGCGATCTCCTCTGTCGTTTTTCTCTCCAAAAAGTCGTAGTCGGAGAAGTTTGATCACTGGCGGTAACAATATCAACTCCATAAGGCTATAACAACTGTATTAATAAAAATCGAATTATTTGAATTATTTGTTTATTTACATTATTGGATGACACAATAGCAAAATGAACATAATACACGTATAATTACGCGATATTGATCGATATCGATGTCTTCTTTTACCGAATTGCAGGTTTATTCATTACCCAAATCCTAACGATAAACTCGAAGCCCAAATTTATAATTATATCTAATGCAGTACGCGGCAAAAATCAGAGCTCGAATTTAACTAGGAACGATTATATCGTCTCTCCTGATTTTTCGCAAATGGTAAGCTTTTAATATGCGATTCTTTACTCAATATTAAGAAATTATCGAATCACTTAGTCATATAAACTGTGTGACTAAGTGACTCACACTGTTTCAATTTATTTACTTTGCGCATAAAATATCCCAAATATATAGTTTTTGCTTTTGATATTAAAGTTTATTTGTCTAGAAAGTCAAGAGCATTAAAGTAAAAGTAAATATAACGATAAGTATAAATTTATACGTATAATACAGAAAGATGTGTTGATTGTTCTTTAGCCCGTTGAGAAATACAATTATAATCATGCTTTGCGATATTACAGATTCTTAATATTATGCTTCGTTGAGTATGTATAAAAGGAAGTAATAAGATTGTAAAGTTTATAATACGTATATAAATTATATATAATGCATATTTAAAAGTAATCAGATGGTTAAGTTTAAACATCTATCCAAATGAAGTTTTTTTACATCGTCACATTAAATATAGAATCCCTGGGTCTCATACAACTTCTAATTGAATAATTTGCTCGCTTTAAGAATTATACCTGTATAGGAGTTCGTCAAATTTACAGCCGAATATTTTGTGATATATTTAAAAGCACTTCGATATCCTACAAGCAGCAAATAATAGAAATTAAAACTTCAATATATTTTTCTTCACAACCAAATCAAATTTAAACATACCATATTTGAAAAATCGTATTTTTCTTTTTCAAAACTGTTTGTTATCACTTTGACTCTACTAAATTTGTCAACAGTTAAATATAAGTCGCTCAATCTCGCTTCCAAACTATCAATGTATTGACAATTCTGATTACAAGATTTACAATTTGTCGAGTTTTTTAAATTGCTACGAGTACGACGTATTGGAGGATAAGATGCACCTCGAACTTGAAAGAGGAACCTTTTCCCCGTAGTATCTATTTCGTTGGTGTTGCATTCCCGAAGGTTGCTTTTGATACGGATATTATTGTTGTTGTTTTCAATTTTATTTGATGATGTTTGAGTTTGTTGTTTTAATGCCATTATATAAATCTTCTATTGAAATATAGTTAATGAAGTATGAAATTCGGATAAAAAGAAATTACGGATTGAGTGCGCGTCTTAACATTCTACCTAGCATAAAGGCGTGTCTTTTATAAATATTCATTTTGCAGAAAGATAGACTTGTCTTTATTTATATTGTTTAAAATAATGTCGTGGTTATTCTGCAAATAATCATACTACGTATTTTACAATGAAGAGTATTGATGTATTCATAAGGAAATATTAATGACTCGAAAAGCACTAATATATTAATATCTATAACTTTCAGTTTTTGTTATGCAAAGAAATTATCATTCAGTCACCGCGTTGAGTCAATGTATGCGGGTTGTTTGCCTAAATTTGATTGTGAACAATGTAAATATGGTTTCTCAGAACTTAATAAAATGCAAAAATGACTCACAAAAAGTTCTTTGTTATTGATTTTACTTTGCAAGTCAATTAAATGTCGATTAAATTTCTAATTCATTGTTATAAAGTTAAATGTAAAGCAAATGTTCTTCTGTTTCGGGCACAACAATGAAAGCAGATGGCAATGCTTTTATGCGAAACAGTTCGCATCTTAATTTAAGGGGTAGATCGGATGGTCGGCATCGGGATTGGAATCGCATTATCTGCCCCTTTTTTTGTCTGCACTTTGTTACTAACTGTGACAGATATACGTAATATCCTATGGGGATGGGGTACTAACAGTGTCTTATGTAATATATAGAGTCACATCTTACCTAGGGGAGTGGCGGGCTCTATAGTAAACCAATACTTCCGAGTAATAGGTAAATATGTGTAAAACATATTTCTCCGTATATTTGTTTAGTACTCAGAAGTAGATTTAAAAGACTAATATTGAGATATCTAACTTCGCCACAATACCCTCTTCCGCCATTATATTATTGATTTTGAAAATTTAACTATTCACTAAAAACATTTTTATAAGAATGGAATGTAGTAAATGTGCCCGTTGTCAAACAATGATCACTGTACAGAATGTTTCGCTTATCTTTATAAATCTAAATGGTCTAGCGGAAATAAGGATATCGATGGTCTAATAAAATAATGCATGGAAATTAAAAGAATTTTGAATGGATCCCATTTGAAAGACTCACAAACGTTGAATATTTTGCGAAAGAAAGTTTTGGAACAATCCATAAAGCAATCTGGTTGGGCGGACCATTACGTTAGAGTGGGATCATAAAGAAAATAAATTTAAACGATATAATGAATATAAACGCGAAGTTGTGTTGAAATCATTACGTTATTCAAAGCAAATCACGTTAGAGCTTAACGAGTAAAATAAATAATTTCTAAAATTGGAGCATAATACATGAACGTACTTTTTTCTAATCGGAAGTAACATACCCCTTAACTTTCCATAGATCATGTGTAATGTACCAAAATTTTCCGAGCACAAAGAACATTACAAATGCTGATCGTTGACACATGTACTTTTATAGATTGGTAGAGCTTCTATATTGTGCATTATAAATTTTCATGCCCCAATACAATGAATCATTCACTTGGTGACATAATATCTTGACATCTAGTGATCCAATTTGAGCAAAGTACTACCATTTGATTTGCCTAAATTAGAAAAATCGGATGATAGCGATAGTATTTTCACTCAAATTGGATCACTAGCGCTAGCGACTAGACGTATTACATGCATGTCCTAATTCATATTTGTCGATCAATTTAGAAATTGATCGCCAAAAAAATGAATCGATCAATTTATGATGTACATGTTCATTGTATATCTCGATTTCCAGTGATCCAATTTGAATAAAAATAATACCATTCGATTTGTCTAGTCAAGATGAATCGAAAGGTATGATTAATTTTTGTTGACTCCAAAAAAATGAATCTGCTACTTTAAGACCTAATATTTCGACGACCAGTGATCCGATTTGAACAAAAATACTGTGCTGCCATTTGATTCACCTCGACTGGACGAATCGAATCACTGAACGTCAAGAATTAGATTATTGAATATTGAGATGTGTGTTATGAAATAACTGATTATACATATACGTATTTAGGATGTGAAAACACAAGAAGCTTTACCAATAAAAGGTATTAACGATCAGCATTTGTGATGTTCTTTGTGCTCGGAAAATTTTGTACATTACATATGATCTATGGAAAGTTGAGAGCATTGTATAAATAAATTTTTCACAAATAGATTCAGACTGCTCTAAAGTGCTGTTATAGATTATTATGGAATGCGCTACAAACGAATACGAAAGAATAAATTGGGAAAGGGAGGTAAGATATTTGGTTTGGATTATCATAGGGCTGGGTAAAATTCACGAAAAAGATTTGTGCATCGGGACTTTCACCCGGAAATATATTAATATCGAGTATTCCACAAATTGCCGAGTTTGGACTTGCCAGTCCAGCTAATTTAAATGAATCTAATCGAGAAATTTATGGAGTACTTCCTTACATAGGGGTGGTTATGTGCGAGTTTGTAACAGGTGAACGGCCATTTGGTAAGCGAAGTCATAATATAGATCTTGTATACGACGTCTTTAATGGAGTACGACCGTAGATGTTCCCGGATGGCACAAATTTATTCTTGAAAAATGTTGGGACTATCCCTGAAATAGACCAACTGCTAAAGAACTCAAAGGTTTTATTGAATCTATAGACAATCTCAATGCGGATTGGAAGCTAAATACTTTGCATTTACAATACTTTAGTTCTTTAGGATACAGATTAGAAAGGCAGAAATTAAGAGAACGTGATAAGTTGCAAAAAAGCACTTCTACAGATATAAATAAAACGACCAATCGACTCAAATGCAGTTTATACTAGTCGAATCTTTACTAAAAAAATCAGATAACAGGTACATTATTTCTAAAATAATCATATTGATAAATTATATCGATATTAATTATAATTACATTGAATATTTAGCACTACAAGTGTCAGTTTGTATGTTCCAAACGAAGGGAAAATATCTTCTAGAAAATATTATTCAGCAAATTAATATATTAATGCTTGCTTACATAATGATAAAACTTAGAATATGTGACTACTGAATATTATGTAGATGTCAATGTCGAATCTACAAGTGTCAGTGTGTGCTTTAATTGTTGATTACAATCTCAGTATACATGTAAATATTATATTTAAAAGAACATAAAACGAACAATAAACGTCTTAATGAAAACGAGCCAAAAGAATCGAATAAACGGAGAAAGATTTCATCAAGACAATAGTGAGTTTATTAAGATGAAAAGAATGATAGTTCGAGCAATATTTTGAACCTTTATTCTTATTAATATATATTCTATCGACTACTTCACAAATAGCTTTAGGAAGATGTAATTTTTGTTTATAAAAAAATCTAACGATTTTTTTCTAATAAGAAATTAATATCGAGATGTAATAACGATAATCCACGGAAATTGTAAGAATGGTATGAATGATACAGCATAGCAATAGTACAAGCACGAGGAACACAGTTTTTTTTAGCACGGAACCACACGCATAAGTACGGACTGTCAAATTCGATAAAAAAACCATGCCCGAAACGTGTTTATACGGAATTTGTCGCGTTTCCCGTGCTTGTACGTACCGTACCATTTCGTACCATCCCTTGCAGTTCCCGTGGAGTTTTTACATGATTGCCTTTTTTATAGGGCAAGTGTTCATTTGTAGCTACGTTTTATTCCATTATATCTCGCATCGTCATTATTACTTTGAAAAATTCTATTAGAATGTTCATTTTAAACTCCAATGTACTTTGATTTGAAACATGTAATAAGTTCAGCACAATTTTGAGTTCTCTAAGTCGTTTTAATTCAGTTTCTCCATAATCTTCAAGCGATTCTTTATAAATCGTTCAAAATCGCCTTAAGATATTTAACATCAATTGGAAACGTATTCCAAGTTTCGCATTCTTTTCTAGACTGCTGATATCTTTATTCTTGTTAGACCATTCCGCTTTATAAAGTTGAAGATAATATTCATTACATCTAGAGCAGTACTCGTTTTTTTTTAATAACCGATACATTTAGTATTACGATCTGAACGCTCATTGCAGTAATTATATAATGCTAGATCTCATCTTCTGAACTCGCTTTATAAAAATTATCTTCATGTGTTGTATTCTATAAATTAGAACTTTGAAAATGATGGTAAAGAAAATGACCTCAACTTTTAGGTTAAGCACGGATTGTGTTAAATCTATTGGCTGGTATGTAGATGAAAAAACAGACTACAGCGACAGTATATTAATTCACTACAAGTAAATTTCAAAAGTATAATGAAATCACTGAGTAAGCAATAACATTGGCGATTATTGAATGCTGCTATTTCTACAATATTTTACAATAATAACGAGATTTGCTTTATTTAAAGAATAAATGTATATATAACAACCACATTTAATTGGCTAATTAGGACCTGAGTTAGGGTTAGGGTTAAGATTCTGGATATGTGATTGATCCTTAGTTAAAAACATGATTTAATATTTAATCTTAACGTTAAATTAGCGTTAGCGTTAGTGTGAATCTAAATTTATTAGTTTTACAAGGTGGTTAGTTATGTTATACATGTACATATACGTAGTTATTCTATCTTGGGTAAATCAATGTTGTGTTCCATTTGGACATGTATTTGGCTAGATCACATGCATTTGTTACGAACGTTTTACATTAATTGGTGCTATACATGTACATGTACGTATATGTACATGTATATCTCTTTAACGTTAACGTTAACAGCCAATAACGATAATGATAACGATAACGATAAGCATTTATTTCCCGTATTTTTTGCCGGGTTGATCAAAAATTTGCGCATTCTCATTGGTTTCGAGATCGTCAGGGATCGGAAAAATCACGTGAAGGGAAAACTTTTTATCCTTATAAGTTCAAACGGCTTGCTTTATGTCTCCTTCTTTTATATCCTCATCCATTTTCCTTCGATTGGAGCAATATTTATTTTAACTATAAAACTATTAATAAAAAAAATTTTTT